AGTCCGCCCGCTCGCCCGACTGGACGCGAGTCCGCCCGCCTGGGTCGGCGACGAGTGGCGAGAGTCGGCCCGCCCGCCCCGTCCTCAAACTGGACGAGATTCGACCCCCTGCCCCTTCCTCTCGCCGTCGCCTCACTCGTCCTCTTCGCCCTTCTCCTTCCCCTTCCCTCCTCGTCCCTCCTTCCCCTTCCCCTTCATTGCCTTGCGCTCGCCCCTCGCCCTTCCTCGGCTGTGGTGGCGAGGGAACCTCCTCGCCCCCTTCCTCCCCTTCCCCTCCCTCGCCCGCCCGCCCCCGTCCACCTCCCCCTTCCCCACTCGCCCTCGGGAAGCTCGCCGGGCGCCTTGATGGGAGCCGCCCCTCCCTCCTCCCCCTTCGCCCCTCGCCCTCGCCTCCCCCTTGCCCTCGTCCTCGCCCCCTCGCCCTCTTCCCTTCGCCTCCCTCGCCTGAGGCGGCGGTGAGGCAGAGCTCTCGCCTCTCGTCGCCCTTCTCGCCTCTCGCCTCGGACTTGCCTCGCCCCTCGCCCTCCTTCGCCTCGCCCGCCCATCCTCCCTCGCCCCTCCTGCCCTCGCCCCCTTCCCCTTCCTTCCCGTCCTCGGCTCTCGCATCGCCCTCGCCCTCGGGTGACTCGCCTCCTCGCCCCTCGCGCCCGTCCGCCTCTTCGCCCGTCGCCCGTCGCCCCTCGCCCGCTTCCTCGCCGGTCGCCCTCGCCGTCGATGCGCTCGCCTCGCCTCCTTCCCCTTCCCCTTCCTCGCCCCTCTTGCCCTCGCCGTCGCCTCGCCCCTCGCCTCCCTCGCCGAGATTCGACCTCGCCCTCGCCCTCGCCCTCGCCCTCGGGTGACTCCCCCTCGCCTGATGGGAAGCTCGTCATCGTCGCCGATGGGGAGCTCGACGGCGAGCCTAGATGGGGTACCTCGACGGGCGCCTCGCCGGGAAGCTCGTCGGGAGCCCCGATGGGTGGCTCGCCGGGAAGCTCGCCCCTCACCCTCGGGATGCCCTCGCCCCCTCGCCCTCGGGAAGCTCGACGGGCGCCTCGCTGGGTACCTCGCCGGGCGCCTCGCCGGGAAGCTCGCCGGGAGCCACGATGGGGAGCTCGTCATCGTCGCCGTCGATGGGTGGCTCGGAGCCTTGATGGGGAGCTCGTCGGCGAGCCTTGATGGATGCCCTCGCCTCCCCTCGCCCTTCCTCGGTGCGCTCGCCCTCGGGAGCCTAGATGGGGAGCTCGTCGGGCGCCTTGATGGGAAGCCTCGCCCTCGCCCTCGTTGCGCTCGCCTCGCCCTCGCTCTCGCCTACGCCTCTCGCCCCCTTCCCCTCCCGTCCTCGCTGGCGAGGTAAGTCCTCGCCTCGTTGCTCTCGCATCGCCCTCGCCCTCGCCCTCCACTCCCCTTCCCCTTCCCCTTCCCCCCTTCCCCTTCGCCTCACTCGCCCCTTCCCCTCGCACCTCTCGCCCTCGGGTGACTCGCCCCTTCGCCCTCTCGCCCTCGCCCTCGCCCTCCTCTCCCACTCGCCCCCTCACCTCCCCCCTTCCCCTCCCGTCCCCTTCCCCTCGCCTCCCTCGCCTCGTTGTCCTCGCCTCGCCCTCTTCCCCGCGCCCCCTCGCCCCCTCGCCCCTTCCCATCCCCTTCGCCCTCCCCTCGCCCCTCGCCCGGGCGCCCCCTTCCTCGCCCCCTTCCCTCGCCTCCTCTTCGCCCTCCTCTTTGCCCCTCACCGTCGGGTGACTCGCCTCGCCTCGCCCTCGCCTCCCGCGCCCTCCTTCGCCCCTCGCCCCTCGCCTCCCTCGTCCTCTCCCACTCGCCCGTCGCCCCCTCTTCGCCCCTCGCCCTCGCCCTGGGGAAGCTCGACGGGCGCCTCGCCCCTCGCCCCCTTGCCTCTCGCCCTCCTCGCCCCCTCGCCCCCTCCCTCTCGCCTCACTCGCCCTCGGGTAACTCGCCCCTCGCCCTCGGGTGACTCGCCTTGCCCTCGCCCTTGCCTGGGTGGCTCGCCCAGCCTCGCCCTTCGCCCTTCCCCTCGCCTCGCCCTCGCCCCTCGCCCTCCTTCGCCTCGCCTCCCTCGCCCTCGGTGAACCTCGCCCCTTCCCGCGCCCCCTTCGCCCTTCTTCGCCCCTCTTGCCTCTCCCTCCTTCCCCTTCGCCTTCCCTCGGCTGTGGTGGCGAGTGGGACTCGCCCCCTTCCCCTTCCCCGGCGGCGAGTGAGACTCGCCCCCTTCCCCTCGTGCCCTTCCCCATCCCCTTCCCCTTCCCCTTCCCCTTCCCCTTCCCCTTCCCCTTCCCCTTCCCCTTCCCCTTCCCCTTCCCCTTCCCCTTCCCCTTCCCCTCTCCTCGCCCCTCGCCCTCGCTCGACGGGCGCCTAGATGGGTACCTCCCCCTCGCCCTCGGTGAACCTCGCCCGTCGCCCATCGCCCTCCTCGCCCGTCCCTCGCCCCCTTCCCCCTTCCTCAGCCTCCCCGGCGAGGCAAACCTCGCCCCTCGCCGCCCTCGCCCTCGCCTCGCCCGTCCACCCTCTTCGCCCTCCTCTCCCTTGCCTCTTTGCCCCTCGCCGTCGCCTCGCCCCGTCCTCGCCCCTTCCCCTTCGCCTCCCCCTTCGCCCTCGGGATGCACTCTCCCACTCGCCCTCGCCTAGATGGGGAGCCTCGCCCTCGCCCTCGTTGCTCTCCCCCTTACCTCTTCGCCCTCGCCCTCGCCCTCGGTGAACCTCGCCCTCGCCCCCTTCCCCCCTTCCCCTTCCCCTTCCCTTCCCTCCTCGCCCTCCTTCCTTCGCTGGCGAGGCAATCCTCGCCCCTCCCCCCTGCCGCACCCCCTTCCCCCTTCCCTCCTCAGCTGTGGTGGCGAGTGAGACTCGCCTCTCCCCCTCCTCGCCCTCGCCCTCGGGTGACTCGCCGTCGATGGGGAGCCTCGCCCCTCGCCCCCTTCCCCTTCCCCTTCCCCTTCCCCTTCGCCCCTCCCGTCCTCGATGGCGAGCGCAATCCTCGCGCCTCGTCCGCCCCCTCCCTCCTCCCCCTTCGCCCTTCGTCGCCCTTCGCCCCTCCTCGCCCTTCCCTCCCCCTCCCTCTCGCCCGCGAACGCGATCGAGGGGGCGATTACGACGGTGATCGAGGGAGCGACCGCAAGGATGATCGAGGGAGCGACCACGATGATGGAGGGGGGGCGACCACGACGGTGATCTAGGAGGAGGGGAGCGATTACGACGTTTGAGGAGGCAGCACGACGGTGATTGAGGAGGGGGCGAACACGACGGTGATTGAGGGAGCGACTACGACGGTGATTGAGGAGGGGGCGACTACGACGGTGATTGAGGAGGGGGCGACCGCAAGGATGATGGAGGAGGGGGCGAGCGCAAGGATGATGGAGGGGGGCGAGCGCAACGGTGATGGAGAGGAGGTGATAGGCGATGGAGGAGGAGGGTGGCCGCAAGGATGATAAAGGGGACGCAGTGTGCGATGGAGGGGGGCGACCACGACGGTGATGGAGGAGGGCGATTACGACGGTGATGGAGGGGACGTGACGTGCGATGGAGGAGAGGGGAGTGATTACGACGGTGATGGAGAGGAGGGAGCGCAAGGGTTGAGGAGGAGGGGAGGGGCGACCGAGACGATGCATGAGGGGGTGAGCGCAACGGTAATGGAGGGGAGGGGCGAACACGACGATGATAGGAGGGGGCCGTGCGATGATGAAGGGAGGGAGGGGAGGGAGGGAATATGTGCGATGGAGGGGGGCGAGCGCAAGGGTGATGGAGGACGGGACGCGATGTGCGATGGAGGGGAGGGGAGCGAGCACGACGGTGATTGAGGGGACGTGACGTGCGATCGAAGGGAGGGGCGACCGCAAGGGTGACGGAGGAGGGCGACTACGACGGTGATTGAGGAGGGCGAACGCAAGGGTGATTGAGGGGGGCGATTACGACTGTGATCCAGGAGGGGGCGATTACGACGGTGATGGAGAGGAGGAGCGACCGCAACAATGGTGATGGAGGGGACGTGACGTGCGATCGAAGGGAGGGGCGACCGCAAGGGTGACGGAGAGGAGGTGATGTGTGATGGAGCGAGGGGGGGGGGGGCGAACGCAACAACGGTTGAAGGGACGAGGGGCATTGTTGAGAAGACGTCTCGGATGCGAGATCGTTGCTTTTGAGGGCGGGCATCGTGTTCGACGACGCGCGGGCATCGTGCTCGACTCTGCGGCAAGGGCCCGTGGGGTTCGTACGACAAGCGCTCGTTCGGTTTGTATGGCAAGGGGGATGTTATCGGTTGCAGAGGCGTAGACGCGAGTGACGAGGAACGTAGTCGCGGGTGACGGGGGAGGCGTAGCCGCGGGCGAACGGGGGTGTAGACGCGGGTGACGGGAGGCGAAGAAGCGGACGTGGAACGGGTGGCGGAGAGTGTGTATGCGGGCGAGTTGTTGAAGGGCGTGCGAGCTGTTGAAGGGTGTGCGATCTGTTCGCGTCTGCAGGGGAGGCCGTGACATGGCGGCGCGATCGGCGGACGCGTCGATCAATGACGCGCGCCGCCCGACCTCTTGTCGTGAACGATCACTGCGACGGACGTCGTCGTTCGAGGCGGTGGACGAACAAGTTGAATGCGTTGGACTCGCGTTGGACCCACAAACTCAGCACGCCGTACGCTCGGCTCGCGTGCTGCTCGCTGTCGCCTGTACTGACGTGACTCGCGCAGGTCGAGTGTCGTGCAGGTCGACTCTCGTGGATCATGCACGCCTCTCCCCATCCACTGTCGATACTCACATGTACAAGCCTCTCGTCATACCCCAAATGCAACCAATCTCTCTCTTTACTCAGTCTCAAAACCTCCATCGCGTCGGTCCGCGCGTTATTTGTTCTCCTTCCTCCCCTTTCCCTCCGTCCTCCCCTTAGCCCCTCCCCTCACCTTCTCTTCCGCCATGTCCTATTCACCTCACCTCCCGCTTCCCCTTCACTAACCCGAAGCCCTCCTAGCTCAATGACATCACAAAGCCCTGCTAGCTCAGCTGCAAGCCCTGCTAGCTCAGCTCAAAGCCCTGCTAGCTCAGTGGTAGAGCGTCGCACTCGTATCAGCCATTCATTGACACCTGATATACCATGCGAAGGTCAGTCGTTCAAGTCGGCTGTGGGGCAGTCCAATACCAAATACGGTCTTTTTCTCGCCCTCGCCGTCGTCATTCCTCCCCTCTCGCCCTCTCACCCCTCTCACCCCCATCCTCCCCTCGTCCTTCCAGCCTACCCCTTCCACCAGCCTACACCCCTTCCACCAGCCTACACCCCTCCTACCAGCCTACCCCCCCCCCCCCCCCCAACCCCCTTTTTATTCACAGGCTCTCGTCGAATCTCATCAAGTCTGAGTCTGAGGACGAGTCGGATCTCGTCAAGCCTCCCCGTTCACCCATCGAGCCGTCCCCCCGGCTTCTCGCCCGTCAAGCCTTCCCGTTCACCCGTCAAGCCTCCCCGTTCGCCCGTCAAGCCTTTACATTCGCCGTCGAGCCAGTTCCCGTTCGCCCGTCGAGCCTTCCCCCCGGCTTCTCGCCCATTGAACTCGTATCCAGCGGCTTCTCGCCCATCGAACTCGCATCCAGCGGCGCGCGAGTTACCCATCGAGCTCGCATCCAGCGGCGCGCGAGCTTCCCATCGAACTCGCATCCCCCGGCTTCTCGCACGACGAGGCGGGCAAGTTTCCCATCGGGCGAGAGGCGAGCTCCCTCGCCCTCGGGAAGCTCGCCCTCCTCTCCCACTCGCCCGTCGACGAGCTTCCTCGCACGACGGCAATTTCTCCTCGACGAGGGCGGGCTTCTCCTCGACGAGGGAGAGTCCTCGACGACGACGACGAGGGGCGAGCTTCTCCTCATCGACGACGCCGGCGGGCTGCCTCCTTCGCACGACGACGCCGGCGGGCTGCCTCGCACGTCGACGAGGCGGACTCCTCGCACGCCGCCCGGGGGCTGCCTCCCTCACCGCCGCCGGCGCGGTCGACTCCTCGTCACGACAGAGCTCCCTCGCACGACGAGCTTCTTGCACGTCGACGAGAGGCGAATTCTCCTCATCGACGAATTCTCCTCAACGACGGCGAGAGGCGGGCTGCCTCGCACGACAACGAAGGCGAATTCTCATCGACGGCGAGCTTCTCATCGACGACGAGCTTCCCAGCGGCGCGCGAGCTTCTCATCGACGAGGGGCGAGCTTCTCCTCGCACGACGGGGCGAGCTTCCCATCGACGACGAGGCGGGTCTCCATCGACGCGGGCTTCTCCTCGACGACGTCGAGTTCTCCTCGACGACGAGGCGGGCTTCCCATCGACGGGGCTCCCTTCTCGCACGCCGACGAGGGGCGGGCTCCTTCGCACGACGAGGGAGGTGGACTCGCCCGACGAGGCGGGCGAGCTTCTCCTCGACGACGAGCTTCCCATCGACGGCGACAACGAATTCTCCTCGACGACGACGATTTCTCCTCGACGACGAACTTCTCCTCGACAGTGCTCTCCTCCTCCCTCCCTCCTCTTCACCTCTCCTCCTCCCTCCCTCCCTCCTCGCCTCGCACAACGCCGACTCCAGGCTGCCTCCCTCCTCGCCTCTCCTCCTTCCTCCCTCCTCGCCTCTCCTCCTTCCTCCCTCCTCGCCTCTCCACCGGGCTGCCTCTCCTCACCTCTCCTCCTCGCACGCCTCTCCTCCGGGCTCCCTCCTCGCCTCTCCTTCGCCACGACGCCGGTGGGCTCCCTCTCTCCTCCGGGCTCCCTCCTCGCCTCTCCTCCAGGCTCCCTCCTCGCCTCTCCTCCTCGCATGCCGACGACGGGGCTCCCTCCTCGCACGCCCACGACGAGCTACCTCCTCGCCTATCCTCCAGGCTCCCTCCTCGCCTATCCTCCAGGATCCCTCCTCGCCTCTCCTCCGGGCGTGCTTCTCGCACGCCTCTCCTCGCCGCCTCAGGCGAGCTCCTCATCCTCCTCCTCGCCTCTCCACCGGGCTGCCTCGTCGTGCCTCCTCCGGGCTCCCTAGGCTGCCTCGCCCATCGACGCCGGCGGGCTCCCTCCTCGCCTATCCTCCTCCCTCCCTCCTCGCACGACGCCGAGGCGGGCTCCTCGCCACTCCTCCGGGCTCCCTCCTTCGCCCGTCGAGCCGAGCTTCCCTTCGACGACGAGGGCGAGCTTCCCATCGACGAGGCGAGCTTCCCTTCGACGACGAGCTTCCCATCGACGAGGGCGAGCTTCTCTTCGACGAGCTCCCTCGCACGTCGACGAGGGGCGAATTCTCCTCGACGACGAGCTCCCTCGCACGACGAGCTCCTCGACGACGAGGGGCGAGCTCCTTCCTCGACGACGAGAGGCGAGCTTCTCCTCGACGACGACGAGTCCTCGGACGACGAGCTTCCCATCGGGCGAGGGGCGAGACGGGGGCGAGGGGGATTTTCGCAGAGCGGGGTCGACGACGACGAGCTCCCTCGCACGAAGACGAGGGCGAGTTCCCCTCGCACGCCGACGAGGCGGGCCGCCTCTCCTCCTCACACGCCTCCTTCTCCTCCTCGCCTCTCCTCCATCGACGGCGACGGCGAGCTCCCTCGCCCGGTCGCCCTCTCGCCCCTCGCCCCTCTCCTCGCCTCTCCTCCGGGCTCCTTCCTCGACGACGGCGAGGCGAGCTTCCCATCGACGACGACAGGGCTCTCCTCCGGGCTCCCTCCTCGACGACGAGGGCGAGCTACCCATCGACGAGCCTTCCTCGCACGACAACGGGGCGGCCTCCTCGCCCCTCCTCCGGGCTCCCTCATCGACGACGAGGCGGGCTACCCATCGACGAGGGGCGAGTTTCCTCTCCTCCAGGCTCCCTCGCCTCTCCTTCCTCCCTCCAGGCTCCCTAGGCTGCCTCCTCCGGGCTCCCTCCTCGCCTCTCCTCACCTCTCCTCCAGGCTGCCTCCTCGCACGACGACTCAGGCGGACTCCCTCCTTCGCCTCTCCTCGCCTCCTCCTCCGGACTCCCTCCTCGCACGCCGAAGGCGGACACCCTCCTTCGCACGACAAGGCTCCCTCCCTCGCCTCTCCTCCTCCTCTCCTCCGGGCTGCCTCCTCGCATGACGCCCGGGGGCTGCCTGGCACGACGCCCGGGGGCTGCCTCGCCACGGCGGCGCGAGCGACTCCTCGCACGACAGGGCGGGCTTCCTCTCCTCTCCACCGGGCTCCCTCCTCCCCGCCTCTCCTCCGTGCCGGCTCCTCGCCTCTCCTCGACGAGGCGGGCTGCCTCCAGGCTCCCTCCTCCGGACTGCCTCACTTGCCTCTCCTCCTCGCCTCGCCTCTCCTCCGGGCTCCCTCCTCGTCTCTCCTCCGGCCTCCCTCCTCGCCTCTCCTCCCTCCTCGCCACGTCAACGAGGCTCCTTCCTCGCCTCTCCTCCTTCGCATGACGCCCGGGGGCTGCCTGGCACGACGCCCGGGGGCTCCCTCCTTCGCACGACGACGACGAGGTCGAGCTTCTCGCCGCGACGAGGCGAGTTCTCCTCGACGACGAAGGCGAGGCAGGCTTCTCGACGACGAGGCGGGCTCCTCGCATGATGACGAGGCGAGCTTTTCCTCGACGACGAGGGCGAGTTCTCCTCGACGACGAGTTCTCCTCGACGAGGCGAGCTTCTCATCGACGACGACGAGTTACCCATCGACAACGAGGCGAGCTTCTCGCCACGACGAGGCGAGTCCTCCATCGACGACGACGAGAGGCGAGCTTCTCCTCGCCTCTCCTCGCACGCCTCTCCTCCTCACCTCTCCTCCTCCGGGCTGCCTCCTCGCCTCTCCTCCTCCGGGCTCCTTCCTCGCCTGTCCTCCGGGCTCCCTCCTTCGCACGACGACGACGAGGGCTCCCTCGCACGTCGCCGAGGGCTGCCTCTCCTCTCATCGACGACGCCGAGGCGGGCTGCCTCGCCACGGCTGCGCGAGCGACTCCTCGACGACGCCCGGGGGCTGCCTCGCACGACGAGTTCTCCTCGACGAGAGGCGAGTTCTCCCTCGACGAGCTTCCTCCTCGCCTCGACGAGCTCCCTCGCACGCCGACGAGGGCGAGTCCTTCCTCGACGACGAGGGGCGAGTTCTCCTCGACGACGAGGGCAATTTCTCCTCGACGACGAGGCTGCCTCGCCACGAAACCGAGGCTCCCTCACCGCCGCCTCAGGCGGGCTCCCTCACCGCCGCCTCAGGCGGACTCCCTCCTCGCCCCTCCACCGGGCTCCCTCCTCGCCTCTCCTCTGGGCTCCCTCACCGCCGCCTCAGGCGGACTCCCTCTCGCACGACGATGGTCGAATTCTCCTCGCATGACGAGCTCCCTCCTCGCCACGTCGACACCGGCGGGCTTCTCCTCGCCTCTCCTCCTCGCCTCCTCTCCTCGCCTGTCCTCCCTCCTCGCCCGTCGAGAGGCGAGCTTCCCATCGACGACGAGTTCTCCCCTCAACGACGAGTTCTCCTCGACGACGAGTTCTCCCCTCGACGACGACGAGTTCTCCTCGCACGACGACGAAGGCGGACTCCCTCGCACGACGACGACGACGACGAGCTCCCTCGCACGGCGAACTCCCTCGCACGACGAGGGAGGTGGGCTCTTCTCGCACGCCGACGAAGGCTTCTCCGAGAGGCGACGAGTTCTCCTCATCGACGGCGCGGTCGACTCCTCGCACGACGAGCTTCCCATCGACGGCGAGGCGGGCTTCTCGCCTCTCCTCCCTCGCCACGCCTCTCCTCACCTCCTCGCACGACGAGGGCGATCTCCTCGACGAAGGCGAGGGGGATTTTCGCAGAGCGGGGTCGACGATTTTAACAGAGCGGCAAGGGAGACTTATGATGCAGAGCGGGGTCGACGAGTTATCATGCAGAGCGGTGAGGGCGACGGCGGTGGTTAACGGACGATGGCGGCGGCGAACGGCGAGAGAATGCACTAAGTACATGTGTGAAAAGGCGGAGCCTAAGTACATGACTGGCCTCTATGTTAGCTCATGCACGACGCTACTCCTGCACGACGCTACTCCTGCACGACGCTACTCCTGCACGACGTTACTCCTGCGAAGGTAAGTCAGAATTTTGGGCAAAGGCAAGGATGAGGGCGCTGGCAATGCTCACTCTGAATCGGTTGTATGTGACTGCTCCGACTCGTCCATCGTGG